TCCCTACAACTTTTGTCACTTCCATAACTGATACTTGAATTCTGTACTGACTTGCAGTGCATCACATAGAGAAGCCGAATGCAAAGGAACCCTAAACTACAGCAGCTCCTTCAGTGCTTCTAACAGCTCATAGCTAATTTCTGCAGTCAAAAGCAGTCTTACTACTTTGAACTGCATCAGGTACTTCTGGCAAAATGTGTATTTCCATCAGAATAGAGCACTGATCACTCTTACGTCCTCCTTGTTTCAGTCTTGTTCCTCTTCTTATGAAGAAAAATAACCACACTGGATTTAATGGGCACAGTCTTTGGGTCAGTCTTTGACTGTAACATATCTAGGTTGTCTTGAGCTAGGTTCTTTGCTTCTTTTCTCTTTTACAATTTCTTTATTCCTTGTGGAATGACAGCCTCACTGTTCTGTAAAAATTGGCTAGAGTAGATGGACATAGTATTTAAAATAAAGCCTTCCCTTGGTTCTGCTGAGCTGGTGCAGACTTTTTCTTCTGCTTGTGAGAGCTACAAATCATTGCAGCTGTACAGGTTTGTCCAGTTCTTCTCCTACATCCCATGGTACTGTACTGCATTACTTTGCTTTGAATTTGGGAATACCCCAAATTCTTTACTCTGTCTTTGATTGTTTCCTCTAAAGTTCCAAAACTTACCGAGGCAGCTGGTTTTAAAGTTTGCTTTAGCACATATGTGCATTAAATGCTTCTGCCTCAAAACAAGGCTGCCTTCTGCATGTCAGCTGTTGAAAGAATAATTGAGACAACTATTTAATGCAATCTTTGTCTTGCAAAAGTTTCCTTATGTAGGCTAGGCACACCTTGTGGCAGGTGGCAAGAGGACTGTAATACACTCAGAGATGATATCGTGTTATATTACGTGAGTTTTGTATGAGAACTTTGATTTTGGATGTTAAATCCATCTTTGAGCTGCTTGAAGTAAAACCCGTGTGCCTTAGAAAACTGTTCTGTAAAGAAACTATTTTTACTGTGGGTGGTGAAATTTACTCTTAAGAAATTACTACAGTATATTTTATTTTTCCTGATACCTCTTTGATCTTAATACATTTTGGTGGCACTCAGTCACTTGAGATTTATGTTGAAAATGTGGTGCTAGATCTTTACCCTAACAACAGCAACAACAAATTACTTTGTAAATGCTGGTCACTTGGAAGTTTCTGGTTCACACAGGCAAATAAAAAAAACCCCTCTCTGTATGTGAATCCTTTTAATGCACAGTATGTAGTGTTTTGCTTTCTGTGACATAAATTCATTCCACCTGCCAACAATGTTTAATCTAATTGCAGAGTTCTGCTTAATTGGCAAGGTGTGACTTGATGCAAGATA